TATCAAACTCTTTCTGGTCAATTGTAATTATTCTTTCATATTCATGTCCTGCCATCCCACTAGAACTAGTTACATTTGTTCCAAAGACTTTCCATGGATTCCCTATTATATTTAAAATCTGTTAGTTTTAATTAAAACTGGGCAATGTATATCCAAAGATAGTGCAATGCAATACAGCAAGTCTGAAATCTGTGCCAAGTTATATGATTATAGCCAATAAAATCACAAGATCATGTGTAATATAAAAACATTGAGAAAAAGGAAAAACTTAATTAACTAAGATTTTACTATGCCAACTATAGTATAACTTCTAAATAAAATTTTCGGCGCGAAATTTTAGTTAAATAGGCGTATTATAATCAAGAAACACTGTAAAAGCATTAAATTTTGATCGCCGATTTAGTGATCTACATAACATGGCACAGATTTCAGACGTGATCTATATATATACATGTTATATTAATCATTAACTTACAATTAGAATTATTTGGTAGATAGGTGGGTAGTGGCTCACTAGCACGTCGTAAACTAATATTCACAGGATGAAATCCAGTATTATCTGCAGATACCATCATTCTCAGGTCATTAACAAAAGTTTGATTATGACAATTTGGCATAGTACCAATATGGTAGAATTTTTCAGAACATGATTCTTTAGACCATAATGCACTTCTAACAAGAGATTGTACAATAAATTTTTTGTAATGATGATTAGCATCAAAGAATTCTTTTAATTCTTCTGAATTAGTGATTATGTAAATTCCCTGTCCTAATTTTTGTAAATAAAAGATAATTAGACCTGTGTTATTTGCAATTTAAAATATAACAATCAATTACTGTATGTAGAGAAAATATTTACCGCAATAGCCATAAGGAGCTTTAATTACTGCATGACCACCCATCTTTTCGATATATGAAGAAATTTCATACTTGCTTATATTGTATATGGTTTTTGAAAAATGAATAGCAAGTCCACTTTCAGAAAATTCAGTATTAAATACTTCAAATAATTTTGATACCATAATTTTGTTTTGACCACCAGCCAAGTATGCGATTATATTATTAAAGATCACAGTCTTAGATTTTAGAGAAAAATAAATACAAGGTTTATAAGCCATATGATTAAAACATGATATACATAACTTTATTCTTTCATTTAAATATTTAGCAACATCATAAAGCATTACAATCCAAACATGTTCTTTAGTCTCTTCAGAGATTGTAGCTGCATATCTAGTTGCTTCTATTTCATCGCTAGCCATATCACACACTATAGCAAGCTCACCAAGAGAGAAATCAGTGTCTTTTAGAGCTTGTTTAAATGCTTGTATTACGAGTTTATATCCATTTTGTCTTTTATTATTTATATTTAGCGAAGGCATTGAGAATTGTCCTGCAGGACCTGAACCAAATTCAATAATGATCATTTGTCGTTTACTATTTGAATTAATTACATTGAAGAAATCAGAAGCTAAGAAGAAAATAATATAAAAAGTAGATATTTATATATATTAATAATTAAACCAAATATATAGTTCATAATATACATTAATATACAATTTTAACGTCATACTCTTCCCGCTAATCACTTGTACACAAACGAACAAGAAACAAAAACAGCCAAAACTCAACAAAAGCTATAGAAAAC